AACCTGCTCCAGTTCCTGCAAACTAGGCACCACACTCAGATTTATTTAATACAAATTACTAACGTGACCTTTGGTTGGTCTACGTTTGGTTACTGTTATTTCAAATCCCTATGGTTTCTGAGGCAACAAATTCCAAAGCAGCAGGACTATATAGTGAAGTAATGTGCTGTTAACATTTTAGTAAGAGGCCCCCTCCACCCCAAGTTTTCTCTCAGTTGCTGATAAACACGATATCCCATGGTATGTGGACTGCAGACAGGAGGGAGGAAGAATTTGGGAATCTGGAAAAAGGCTAATGTAGTGCCAATCTTTAAAAAAGGGAAGAAGGAGGATCCTGGGAACTACAGGCCAGTCAGCTTCACTTCAGTCCCCGGAAAAATCATGGAGCAGGTCCTCAAAGAATCAATCCTGAAGCACTTGCATGAGAGGAAGGTGATCAGGAACAGCCAGCATGGATTCACCAAGGGAAGGTCATGCCTGACTAATCTAATCGCCTTCTATGATGAGATTACTGGTTCTGTGGATGAAGGGAAAGCAGTGGATGTATTGTTTCTTGACTTTAGCAAAGCTTTTGACACGGTCTCCCACAGTATTCTTGTCAGCAAGTTAAAGAAGTATGGGCTGGATGAATGCACTATAAGGTGGGTAGAAAGTTGGCTAGATTGTCGGGCTCAACGGGTAGTGATCAATGGCTCCATGTCTAGTTGGCAGCCGGTGTCAAGTGGAGTGCCCCAGGGGTCGGTCCTGGGGCTGGTTTTGTTCAATATCTTCATAAATGATCTGGAGGATGGTGTGGATTGCACTCTCAGCAAATTTGCGGATGATACTAAACTGGGAAGAGTGGTAGATACGCTGGAGGACAGGGATAGGATACAGAGGGACCTAGACAAATTGGAGGATTGGGCCAAAAGAAATCTGATGAGGTTCAATAAGGATAAGTGCAGGGTCCTGCACTTAGGACGGAAGAACCCAATGCACAGCTACAAACTAGGGACCGAAGGGCTAGGCAGCAGTTCTGCGGAAAAGGACTTAGGGGTAACAGTGGACGAGAAGCTGGATATGAGTCAGCAGTGTGCCCTTGTTGCCAAGGCGGCCAATGGCATTTTGGGATGTATAAGTAGGGGCATAGCGAGCAGATCGAGGAACGTGATCGTCCCCCTCTATTCGACATTGGTGAGGCCTCATCTGGAGTACTGTGTCCAGTTTTGGGCCCCACACTACAAGAAGGATGTGGATAAATTGGAGAGAGTCCAGCGAAGGGCAACAAAAATGATTAGGGGTCTAGAACACATGACTTATGAGGAGAGGCTGAGGGAACTGGGATTGTTTAGTCTGCAGAAGAGAAGAATGAGGGGGGATTTGATAGCTGCTTTCAACTACCTGAGAGGTAGTTCCAGAGAGGATGGTTCTAGACTATTCTCAGTGGTGGAAGAGGACAGAACAAGGAGTAATGGTCTCAAGTTGCAGTGGGGGAGGTTTAGGTTGGATATTAGGAAAAACTTTTTCACTAGGAGGGTGGTGAAACACTGGAATGCGTTGCCTAGGGAGGTGGTGGAATCTCCTCCTTAGAAGTTTTTAAGGTCAGGCTTGACAAAGCCCCGGCTGGGATGATTTAATTGGGGATGGGTCCTGCTTTTGAGCAGGGGGTTGGACTAGATGACCTCCTGAGGTCCCTTCCAACCCTGATATTCTATGATTCTTCATTTGTTTTCATATTCAAACTACAATGAGTTTCAATACCTGTAGTAGAGAGAGCCTGGAGCACTGGGCCTAGTGCAAGCTCTGAGGCCTGAACCAGAGGCTGTAAACCAAAGTCAGGCAATGTCTTAAACCAGACGATTAGAAGTTCACTGCCCACTGCACTGCCCGGAATTGTTGCTCTATAATAAGCACTAAATATTTATCCAGCTAGTACAAATACCACACCAGGTAGTACTATCATGGTCTGCTAAACCAGCTATCTACACAAAGCTGGGGACAACACTAGGGTGACCAGGTGTCCGGTTTTCGATCAGAACACCTGGTTGAAAAGGAATCCTAGGGGCTCTGGTCAGCACTGCTGACCGGACTGCTGACTGTCCTATTGGCAGCTCTGCCCAGTGGTGCTGGCAGGCTCCCTGCTAGCCTCCACACCGTGCAGCTACCGGGAAGCAGCCAGCATGTCCCCCCTCTGGCTCCTATGCATAGGGGGAAGCCAGGGGGGCTCTGATAAGTGCAGCCAATGTGAGCTGCAGGGGCGGCGCCTACAGACAGGGCAGCATGCAGAGCCACCTGGCCGCACCTCCGCGTAGCACCCAGAGAAGGGACATGCTGCTGCTTCCGGGAGCTACTTAAGGTAAGCGCTGCCCAGAGCATGCACCCCTGACTCCCTCCCATGCCTCAAATCCCTGCCCCAGCCCTGATTCCCCTCCTGCCCTCTGAACCCCTCAGTCCCAGCCCAGAGCACCCTACTGTACCCCAAACCCCTCATCCCCAGCCCCACCCCAAAGCCCGCACCCCCAACTGGAGCTTCATCCTCCTCCGCAACACAACCTCCTGCCCCAGGCCTGATCCCCATCCCGCCCTCCAAACCCCTCGGTCCCAGCCTGGACCACCCTCCTACACCCCAAACCCCTCATCCCCGCCCCACCCCAGAGTCTGCACCCCCAGCCAGAGCTCTTACCCCCCCCACCCCAGCCCCCTGAGCCAGCCTGGTGAAAATGAGAGTGAGTGAGGGTGGGGAGAGTGAGTGACAGAGGGAGGGGGGATGGAGTGAGTGGGGGCGTGGCCTTGGAAAAGGGGTGAGGCAGGGTGGGGCAAGGGTGTTCAGTTTTGTGCGAGTAGAAAGTTGGCAACCCGAGAGACCACACAACCCCACAACCCCCACACACACACACACACGCAGGCAAGCCAACTAACAACAATAACCAGGAAGGAGGCAGCGGCACTGGGAAAACAAATGTTAATTATGCTACACTTCTATGGAAATGTTTATTCCTGAAAATTATCCTGAAACCTCTCCTGCGCATCATCAAGGATCTACAACCTATCCTGAAGGACGACCCATTACTCTCACAGATCTTGGGAGACAGGCCAGTCCTTGCCTACAGACAGCCCCCCAACCTGAAGCAAATACTCACCAGCAACCACTCACCACACAACAGAACCACTAACCCAGGAACCTATCCTTGCAACAAAGCCCGTTGCCAACTGTGTCCACATATCTACTCAGGGGACACCATCATAGGGCCTAATCACAGCAGCCACACTATCAGAGGCTCGTTCACCTGCACATCCACCAATGTGATATATGCCATCATGGACCAGCAATGCCCCTCTGCCATGTACATTGGCCAAACCGGACAGTCTCTACATAAAAGAATAAATGGACACAAATCAGAGGTCAAGAATTATAACATTCAAAAACCACTTGGAGAACACTTCAGTCTCTCTGGTCACTCGATTACAGACCTAAACGTGGCAATTCTTCAACAAAAAACTTCAAAAACAGACTGCAACGAGACCCTCCCTCCCCCGCTCTCTTGCTGGTAATAGCTCACCTTACCTGATCACTCTGGTTACAGTGTGTATGGTAACACCCATTGTTTCATGTTCTCTATGTATATAAATCTCACCACTCTATTTTCCACTGAATGCATCCGATGATCATAATGGTCCCTTCTGACCTTAGTATCTATGAATCTATGAAGTGAGCTGTAGCTCACGAAAGCTTATGCTCAAATACATTTGTTAGTCTCTAAGGTGTCACAAGTCCTCCTTTTCTTCTTGAGTATATGGCAATGTTCAGCGTTTGCAATTTGATGGGGGAGAGGAGTAAAGACCTTATCTGGGTGTCTTGGGGTTTTTCTTCCCCCAGGAAACATTCTGTACCTACCTGTTTGGTGTAATCTGGTCCATTCCTAAAAGTCACAAGTTTTTTCACAGAGGTATTTTTATGAACCCCAGGACAAATCTTCTCTGAACAGGATGATTTAGCCACATCTAGAGAGGAGCGAACTCCAGCACAAGGAAGGAAATCACCACAATTTTCCCTTCAATTTGGTGAAGGACTTTTAATATGGGGCTCCCAGGAGCCACCAAAGGTCAGGTCCAGCACATTACTGATGTAGTGTGACTCAGAGGCTTCATCGATAGAAGCTGTATACACAGGTACATCTTCTTACCAGAAATAAGTTATATGAATATTTTCAAGCTGTGTAAGGTATATATGGCAGATAAACCACCAAAGTGAACACAGGATTAATCTTCATAACTCTATGTGCACAAAGAAGAACAGCCAGGGTGTGCTAAAAACGTGTGTTGCTGAAGAAAAATAACTGAATATAAGGCTGTTCCTTAAACAGAAAAAGGGCTCCCTCTGGAGTGGATCACAAAGTTAACACTGGATTTAAATTTTAGTAGGAGGGTAATGGAAATGGAAATCAGTAACAGCAAAGCATTCTTGTCTCTCATTAGTTTGCACATTTTGTTTGCAATAAGCGCAAAACAGACTAGTCTAGTGGGACTATATCAAGGCTACACGACACGAAGCCACGCCTAGAGTATCAAAATTAGTTTTCATGCATGGACTTGTACATGGCAAACAGGCAAATTCTAGGTTATTCAAAGAGACAAGAAAGCTTTCAAAATACCTCAGAGAAACTCTCAGAATATGGAGTAAAACAAGCTGAGAATCTGCCTTTTCAATCTGGTTGATCATGCACTTTTCTAAAAAACAAACAAATATTCTCACTGGTCATGTACTCAAGGCAATAAACTTAATTTGAAAGGGGAGGAAAATAAGCTCACAGTACTTTATTAAGAACATGCTCCACTGGGAACTGAAGAGCTCTGGTTTGGAATTTCAAAAATGAGAAAGACCCCATAGCAGCAACTTTACACTAGCCACGAAGAAAAAGTAATGCATGGTTTATTTACACATATCCCATCAGGACAAAAAATGTGTTTTCATGCAGAACCCACCCCCAAGTTAGATCAACTACACACTGAAATCAACTTACTGCCTGCTTTTGTTCTTCTTCCTACAAATGTTGGCAACAGAAAAAGGTGAAAAGAAAAACAAAGATATATTAATCATCATGTTAAAAGGAAACAAACAAACATACAACAGAAGAAATGAAGGAACAGGCAGATGGTAAATTGTAGAAACATCTGTAGATGTAACATGAAACAAAGACACAGTAGCTGTGGGGAGAAAGCAGAGATGCAGTTTGTTCCATGTCTCAAAAGGAGATCTATGTCTATGATGTGCACCTATGTTAGGTGGTCGAATACATTGAGCAGATCTCAGAGTGATCCCTTCCCTCCCAAAACACCCTTAGTGCCCTCTGCACCTCCTTTGGACTCAGGAGATCCATCAGTTCTCTCTCTTCAACACCTACACTCCTTGAGGCCCTCAACCTTTCAGCGAAGAAGGTCTAAACTAAATCTCTCTTTAAATCTATAAATGTTAGCCATGAAACTGTTTGAAGGGTACTGTTTGCACCGGAGTACTGTCATGGATAGATATAAACTGTTCATTAAGGACAGGCACGGCAGAATAGGTGGGGGAGTTGCATTGTGTATATATATATATATATATATATATATATACACATTGTATGACTGCTTAGAGCTCCCATATGAAACTGCAGAAAAACCTGAGTGTCTCTGGATTAAGTTTAGAAGCGTGAGCAACAAGGGTGATGTCATGGTGGGAGTCTGCTATAGACCACCGGATTAGGGGGATGAGGTGGATCAGGCTTTTTCCGGCAACTCATGGAAGTTACTAGATCGCAGGCCCTGGTTCTCATGGGAGACTTCAATCACCTTGATATCTGCTGGGAGAGCAATACAGCAGTGCACAGACAATCCAGGAAGTTTTTGGAAAGTGTAGGGGACAATTTCCTGGTGCAAGTGCTGGAGGAACCAACTAGGGGCAGAGCTCTTCTTGACCTGCTGCTCACAAACCGGGAAGAATTAGTAGGGGAAGCAAAAGTGGATGGGAACCTGGGAGGCAGTGACCATGAGATGGTTAAGTTCAGGATCCTGACACAGGGAAGAAAGGAGAGCAGCAGAATATGGACCCTGGACTTCAGAAAAGCAGACTTTGACAACCTCAGGGAACTGATGGGCAGGATCCCCTGGGAGAATAACATGAGGGGGAAAGGAGTCCAGGAGATCTGGCTGTATTTTAAAGAATCCTTATTGAGGTTACAAGGACAAACCATCCCGATGTGTAGAAAGAATAGTAAATACGGGAGGTGACCAGCTCGGCTTCACAGTGAAATCCTTGCTGATCTTGAACACAAAAAAGAAGCTTACAAGAAGTGGAAGATTGGACAAATGACCAGAGAAGTATATAAAAATATTGCTCGGGCACGCAGGAGTGAAATCAGGAAGGCCAAATCACACCTGGAGTTGCAGCTAGCAAGAGATGTTAAGAGTAACAAGAAGGGTTTCTTCAGGTATGTTAGCAACAAGAAGAAAGTCAAGGAAAGTGTGGGCCGCTTACTGAATGAGGGAGGCAAGCTAGTGACAGAGGACGTGGAAAAAGCTAATGTACTCAATGCTTTTTTTGCCTCTGTCTTCACGAACAAGGTCAGCTCCCAGACTACTGCACTGGGCAGCACAGCATGGGGAGGAGGTGACCAGCCCTCTGTGAAGAAAAAAGTGGTTCGGGACTATTTAGAAAAGCTGGACGAGCACAAGTCCATGGGGCTGGATGCGCTGCATCTGAGAGTGGTAAAGGAGTTGGTGGATGCGATTGCAGAGCCATTGGTCATTATCTTTGAAAACCTCATGGCGATTGGGGGAGGTCCCGGATGATTGGAAAAAGGCTAATGTAGTGCCCATCTTTAAAAAAGGGAAGAAGGAGGATCCTGGGAACTACAGGCCAGTCAGCCTCACGTCAGTCCCTGGAAAAATCATGGAACAGGTCCTCAAGGAATCAGTTCTGAAGCACTTAGAGGAGAGGAAAGTGATCAGGAAGAGTCAGCATGGATTCACCCAGGGCAAGTCATGCCTGACTAAACTAATTGCCTTCTATGACGAGATAACTGGCTCTGTGGATGAGGGGAAAGCAGTGGATGTGTTATTCCTTGACTTTAGCAAAGCTTTCGACACGGTCTCCCATAGTATTCTTGCCAGCAAGTTAAAGAAGTATGGGCTGGATGAATGGACTATAAGGTGGATAGAAAGCTGGCTAGATTGTCGGGCTCAACGGGTAGTGATCAATGGCTCCATGTCTATTTGGCAGCTGGTATCAAGTGGAATGCCCCAAGGGTTGGTCCTGGGGCCAGTTTTGTTCAATATCTTCATTAATTATCTGGACGATGGGGTGGATTGCACCCTCAGTAAGTTTACAGATGACTCTAAACTGGGAGGAGAGGTAGATACGCTGGAGGGTAGGGATAAGATACAGAGGGCCCTAGACAAATTAGAGGACTGGGCCAAAAGAAATCTGATGAGGTTCAACAAGGACAAGTGCAGAGTCCTGCATTTAGGATGGAAGAATCTCCATGCACCGCTACAGACTAGGGACCGAATGGCTTGGCAGCAGTTCTGCAGAAAAGGACCTATGGGTGACAGTGGACGAGAAGCTGGATATGAGTCAACAGTGTGCTGTTGTTCCCAAGAAGGCCAATGGCATTTTGGGATGTATAAGTAGGGGCAGTGCCAGCAGATCGAGGGATATGATCATCACCCTCTATTCGATTTTGGTGAGGTTTCATCAGGAGTACTGTGTCCAGTTTTGGGCCCCACATTATAAGAAGGATGTGGAAAAATTGGAAAATGTCTAGCGGAGGGCAACAAAAATTATTAGGGGACTGGAACACATGACTTATGAGGAGAGGCTGAACGAACTGGGATTGTTTAGTCTGCCGAAGAGAAGGGTGAGGGGGGATTTGATAGCTGCTTTCAACTTCCTGAAAGGGGGTTCCAAAGAGGATGGAACTCAGCTGTTCTCAGTGGTGGCAGATGACAGTACAAGGAGCAATGGTCTCAAGTTGCAGTGGGGGAGGTTTAGGTTGGATATTAGGAAACACTATTTCACTAGGAGGGTGGTGAAGCACTGGAATGGGTTACCTAGGGAGGTGGTGGAATCTCCTTCCTTAGAGTTTTTTAAGGTCAGGCTTGACAAAGCCCTGGCTGGGATGATTTAGTTGGGGATTGGTCCTGCTTTGAGCAGGGGGTGGGACTAGATGACCTCCTGAGGTCCCTTCCAACCCTGAGCTTCTATGATTCTATGAATACTCAGTGATGCACAGTGCTTGTGACAGAACAGCATAAAATCTCTGCTGCACTTTCACTCTTTGTCAAACTGAAGCCATAGCCAGGGACCTCCTGTCACTGGCCCATAGTGACCTTTGCAGATCAGGGTAAAAAAGGCAAGTTGGTACAATGTCAGACATCCAAAGCAGTGGAATGGAAGGAGAGGAGAACTGGGAAAGTAAACACGAGCTCCAAAGGTATGGACTAAATAAAAAAATATGCAGGGAAAAACCTGATTCCTGCACCGCTATAGAGTAACTCTGATGAATGGGGGTCACTGCTGAAAGCGTGATGCTTGAGTAAGGCGCGAATGAATGAAGTCACCTTCGTCTGAATGAGAGAAACGTGTATTCAGTGACCTGATGGGCTAGTACAGCTACACTTTTATTTCAACTGCTGAGCGTGAGCAACATAATCTAGATTTCTTTTACAAACTCCTGTCATTTTCAGAGAGAATTTGCCCCTGCACTCCATAAAGCTGTGGGAACACTGAGAGCAATTAAATAATAAATGAACCCAGGAAAACAACGAGCTATTCTCTAGCTTTAGTAGTCACCACTGCCACTTTTGAGGTTCATAGATTGCAAGGCCACATGGGACAGTTGTGATCATCTACTCTGACCACCTGTCTAACACTGCTATCATATAACATCTCCAAAAGAATTCCTTTTGAACTATGGTATATCTTTTAGAAAAACGTCCACTTACGATTTAAAAACGGCAAGTGATGGAAAATCCAGCAAGACCCTTTGTAAAACTGTTACAATGTATACTTTACTTCCAGTCTGCATTTGTCTAGCTTTAACTTCCAGCCACTGAAACTTGTTAAGGATTGTCTGGTAGACTGAAAAGCCTATTATCAAATATTTCTTCCCTATGTAGGGACTTTTACAGACTGTAATCTAGTCACCTCTTAACCTTCTCTTTGTTAAGCTAAATTAAACTTTTTGAGGATACTGGTGAGGACAGTGGCTCATGTCATATGTGTCGGTGCTACCACAATGTGAATAATAAAATTTGCAGTTTAATTTTGCCGCCTCTGTTTTTCTGTGCTCAACTTGAGTTCCCTCATGCCTGATTTTTAGAGGTATTGAAAGCATGCCGCCATCTTTATCTTCAGCTAGAGTTTTAGATGCCCTGCACCTCTGAAATGGGCATCCAAAACTGAAACACACAAAACCAACGAACACTTCTCCCCTTACTTTTTTCTTTCTAAGATATAAACAACAAAATTAGATACTAGCAATCGCTACTTGACAGTTATCTTTAATGCACAGTGGCAGGGTGCTTTCAGTGCTTGGCCTCTGGCTCTGGACTTTGCCCCTCCTACTGGTCTGTGAGAGTTTGGGTAGGCCAACCTCCTTTCCTGGGCTTCAGCCTGAGTGGTTGGTTATGGGGATGATATATAGATCAGCAGTGAATGAGAGTTTTCCAATGTAGACTTTGGTCATGAAATCCTATGTTATGACTTAATTTTGGTACCCAGAGACTCTGATATTAAACTGGGAGGAGTGGTAGATACGCTGGAGGGGAGGGATAGGATACAGAAGGACCTAGACAAATTGGAGGATTGGGCCAAAAGAAATCTGATGAGGTTCAATAAGGATAAGTGCAGGGTCCTGCACTTAGGACGGAAGAACCCAATGCACAGCTACAGACTAGGGACCGAATGGCTAGGCAGCAGTTCTGCGGAAAAGGACCTAGGGGTGACAGTGGACGAGAAGCTGGATATGAGTCAGCAGTGTGCCCTTGTTGCCAAGAAGGCCAA